ATTGAATGTGAGAGAGAAAAATGAATGAGAGCCTTTCTTTGTGAGGACACAATACTCTCCAGTACACACACAGGCATACACACATAGGGAGATATTAGCCAGGTGCCATAGGACTAGTAGTTAGCGCCTGATAAGGCAGCTCCTGCGAATTCCTCAATATTGTATTGATTAATATATATGCTAATTGTATTGACTGTATAAAATTGTATATCTATGTACTGCAAAGCGCTTTAGATTGGCTTATGTTAGCTAGATAGGGCGCTATATCAAATGTTGTATTTTTTTTAATACTGAGAGATGACAGTTGGAACTGAGGAACACCAAAACAAAACAAAAGACAACATAAACCCGTTTATAAAGGGTGCGAAATCAAGTGCTGAAGAGGGTTACCATATGTGGCTTTCGCCATGGTGTCAAAGATCAAATGTAGGACACTGTATATAGGGCGGTAGCGGTCTTAAAAAATTTGGACATAGTAGACAGTATAAATATCAAGTCATAGTTATAATGATGGTGGTTATCATTTCTAAAGCGTAGATTGAATCATTCCAGGTATAAAACCCTGACTACGTGATCAAGGGATCTACAGGAGACAGCTTACCAGGAAGTCCCGATACCCGGAACAGGCTTGTGAATAGCATATCAACTGTGACATGTAAACTCAAAAAGTAGGAGAGGCTGAAAGTCGCATCATTTGTGATCAGGTCTGGTGGTGTGACAACAATGTCAATCTGAATACGAGTAGTTTGAGTTAACTTTTGGTTTCAAGTTTTGGGGAAATTGCAACTGAAATGCAAGCAATGTATATCTAAATGTGAAATTGAATGATCGGTAAGTATCTATAGAATGATTTCGTCATTACCAAATGGTACACAGTGATCATATTACAATTGTCCAAACGGACAATCTCATACTGTGTTTACATGAATTCCTATGGCTAGCCATGTGATGTTTAGATAAGTAAACCTAAACAAGTATTTGTATCAGCGTTTGACTAGTCCTTTGCGTAAGCATACCTAATTATTTGTAATAGTCACTTTCTTGTCTGGTATTTTCACGTTTAAAGGGAAGCAACTCGCGAAACGACCGAGCAACACGAAAAGTCTAAAATTATATAAAAAATAAATAAAAATAAAATTAAGAATGAAAGCCTGAGATTTTGAAATATTTAGGTCTATCAATTTGTATGTATAATACTTTAAGTTAATCAAGTGAGTTTTATTTATGAAAATGTTTTGATTTCTCTTCCTAATATAAAAAGTAAACAAGAAAATACCAAAGTGTAAACAAAACAGTAACTCAAACTCAAAATCAATGGACCTAGAGCAAAACATGAACGAAGGAAAAGATCACATGGAGACCTTTCAATTTATAGGAGAATAAGACCAGGCAGATCGGAGGGTTGAGCGTCTTTTGTTTCAAGGCCAAATCAAATGTCAATACCTTGAAGTAAGAGTCGGGGAAGTGACAACGGAACCCCAAACACACTCATATCGATATTTACTTATTTATATTTCACACAAGGAAATCGAAGTCGTCACGTTTAGCATACAGCTTAGTAATAAGCTGTCCTTATTGGTCAGGTTTGTAAGCAGATATTGAGGTAAGCGGGCTGTAGCTGCGTAGTCTACAGTCTCTGACGCCGATATTTGTCTCACCGTCGACGTCAGAAGCTGCGTTATCGCAGCTACAGCTATATATAATGTCGTCAGAGGAAGCCGGGTATTAATATTAGTACTAAATGGGCTTATGTACAAGACTCAAGAGTCTGTAGTGTCCTTGTTTTCAAGTGTAATTGGTATATATACATATATATATATGTTCGAAGTGGTCAAAACGTGTTTTTTTTTCTGTTATTCAAATATGACACATCATCGATATATTTTGAAGTGAAAATTGAAAGGCTTAGCAAGGTTTTTGTTACCGGTTTTGGTAAACTCTTTAACAAATTAAGATAATATATGAATAGAAATACAAGCAAGACAGAAAGTTTGTTCCCATGGTAATATCAACAAATCGCTCGAAAAGATTGCCACCAAACTCGACAAAGATATATAGATATTGTTAATAAAGAACTCAGTAATTCTCTAGATTTTACCATCAGTATATTTCATCTTGGACATTATCATGTTTTTATCACGTTTTCACAAAATATGATCTGAGAGAGTTTACAACGTACCATACATATTTATATCGTCATTCATTTTTCGTTATGCGATCTTACTATTACAATTTTGCTTGTGTTTTGTTGACTTCTACACTGTAAGAAAATCGCTAAAAATTCGATTACCGTATCGTGAACTTTCCTTTTCTTGGCAGTAACATCAATATTCCCCTACATGCTTTGTTTGCATGTCGCTGTTGATTCAGTTGTAAAGCTTGCTCTGTATATCACGATTTTTAATAGATAGATATCAGCTGTTGACGGACAAAGTTGCGGTTCCGTTATCGCTACCCCATTTCTCGCTTTGAGGACGCGACTTTAACTGAAGTTGGCCTAGATTCATATGGCGGGTGTCGTCGGTGAAGCAGAAGATACCCTTCCATAACACCTTGTTCTCCTTGTTTTTTTGTTATTTTTGTCAAATGTATCCATATAGATATTTTTATTGTTCATGTTTTTTCTTGGTTTCAATGATTTTAATCTCGAATTAGAGTTTCGGTATTCTCTTGCTATTTTACATCATTTTAGTGTTAGACAAATACAACGTTCGTGGTTCACATTTACCTTATCGACATAAATTAAAATGGGATTGGAAAAAAAGGTTGACCAATCCTATCGACGCTCTCCAAGCCTGCACTCGACCAAAACTCAACGTTGAAGTTTAGTTGAAGTACAGTCAGTTGAAAAGTGGACGCTGTTGAAACAACGTTGAATTTTCAATGGCTGAGGAAGCGTTAATTGGTGAGTTTCTATTTAATCAACGTTGAAATACACAAGTTGAATCAACGTTGATGTTTGCGTATTGGATCAACGTGATGACTACAACCAAAATTCAATTATTTAAATTGGACGCATATATTAGGGCAGTTCATAATGAATGCAATATTTCTTAAATCATCTTTATTTTTAAGTTTACATATATTTCTGCAGCCTTACTAAAAAAATGTAGTCTAAGATGTACATATTATCACACAGCATAACAATGTGGTATTCATCCTCTATACCATTTAAAACATACTTTTCACAGATACAGTTTTGTACATTGTTGAGTATCGGCCAGTTTCATGGCAAGGAGAGATTACCACATCTTACTCGAAATGGTATTCTCTATCTAGCTACGCTTATTACTTTCCCTTAAAACTTTAACACGCGGCCTTGTTTCTAAATCAAGTTTAAAATTTCGATCAGTATTAATCTTATTTCCATTAATTACGTTATTTCTATTATCCCAAACAACTAGGCGCCATTCTTCTGAATCTCTGTCCGGCATTTTAGAGTTTCTTTATACCAGTCTTCATTCTATATTTATTTTGTAGTATATACTTGAGAAAACGACGAGACGCTCGAGTCCCATGACCAGTTCTGTACTATCCTTCCTTATAATTGACGTTATAACTGAGGTGAACAACAATGATGATATTCACACTAATGCATACATGTATGTTGACGCTATATTTAATGGGGGGGGGGGGGGGGGGGGGAAAAAAAAATTAGTT